AAACTTTTTTCCTAGTGTAGATGTGCCTCTGCGAGTTGATAAATCAATTGATATTCTTGAGATGTTGAAGCTAGCAGTTTGTACATTTGATCAAGCAACTATTGCACTAGGATCGAGCCGTGCCTATAAAAGATCAACCCATTTGCGTGTAAATTCTGAGCCAAATGCGAAAGTTCCCAGGGAGAGTGTATATGATTCAGAAATATGCAGGGTTCTTCAAAATTGGCTCAAAATAATTAATAATTTTAGAGTTACCGGACAATGGCATCTTGAACAAGTTGGCGAGGATGGTGATTATTACCATCTCTATTGTGATCTGGCAATTAGCAAAAATGATTTCTCCAATCCTGTAGCTGTACTCAAATTATTAGCAACGCATCTCCACCAAAGCTCGACAAACATTTCAAGCAAATAATCAATTATACCCCGGCAACGAAACCCCTTAGAAGTTTGGGTTATACATTTTTCTCGTGAGGATGGTATCGTCGAAAATCCTTATTGGCCTGTAAACAGCTACTGGAAAGAGGGCTTAATGTCGTGCATTTCTGGCATAACAAAGAATTCAAAAATGTACGAATGAGTGTCAAATCAAGAGATGCCACCGGTAACTTCAACATTATCATAAATGAACAAATTCTTCCATAATTTCTTATAAATAAACTGATCCGCAATTGGCAGAGGTTCCAAGTTCTTGAAACATATGAATTTTAATAAACTACCGATAAAGAACGTTATACTCTTTCCTCTTATAGCTTTTTAAGCCCCATTCGTGCTTATTCTTATTGCGAGATCATATAAGGTTATATAGCTAATATGTAAGAATATTTGACTGCGAGAAATAATTATGCATACAATAAAGTATTAGGTACAAACCATCACCAATTGTATGACGTTTTATTTTATTAAAAATCGTGACTATCAATAGTAAGTACTGCTGAAGTACTGTTGGCTTTTTCCCAATAAACATATATAAAATCGTAAGGAAAATATCGTAGGCTATTATAATAAAGGAACTTACAAAATCAGGTGTCCTTTTATTTCATAAAAAAATATAAATGAGAAAATAGACAATACCCATTTTGAGTGCAAAGCCCGCGCAAATGCTTAGATTCTTCCGGTGGTAAATCGACTACAATGAAACCATTGACTCCATTCTTCTTGCAATTT